GTGGAGCGTGCGTGCCCGCCCCGACGGAGCCTCAACACAGCCTGAGTCCGCGGGGCCTGGCGCATCTGGTCCGCCTGCCGTCCCGCCTCCGCAGTGCAGTCAGAGGCGCCTCCGGCTGGAGTCCGCCTGCGGCCCCCTGCCAGGCCCTCCCTGGCAGTCCTGCCTGGGCGGTGCCCTGTGATCGGGCTTGGGATCAGACGCCGACCCCGTGGGCCCCGAAGCGGGGCTGAGCAGCTCCGGGGCCCGGAGGGGCCAGCCGTGGGCGCCAGAGGGCCACCGGGAGCCCTTCGTCCTCCCTTCAGCGAAGACCCACCTGCCTTCACGTGTGCCGCCTGGAGGCCACCTCGGACCTCCGGCCTCCTCTGGTAGGGCCGAGAAGGGCTCTGGCCACAGAGTCCAGCAGAGGTCAGGCGCGCCAGGGCCGGGGCTGCGCAGCTGGCGCCTGGTGCCTCCTGGCCAGTGGATGGGGAGGACAGAGGGAGCAGGGAGGAGGGCGGCCGGGGCTACGCGTGGACGGGCAGGGCCTGTCCCGTGCTTGTCTCCAGAAGTGCGGCGAGCTCAGCCCCCTCATCTCCCTGGGCCCCTGTCCCCGGCTCAGCCCCCGCCCCCCACTTGCCGGCCAGTCCCGGGCTCAGCCCTGCCCTCCGCCCGTGCCCCTGCCTGCACCTCGCCCTCCTGAGGCCCCCCCAGGGCGCCTGAGTTTGGTGCTTCCCCGGGCCGGCCTGGGCCAGGCCGCTCTTTGGGTGGTGGGGGGTGAGCTTGTCTGACGGGACGCATGGAGGCCCCGGGGCCCCCAAGCCACGTGCCCTGCCGTCTGAGAAGTCCCGGCTGCCCACCCGCTGGCCCACCAGCACTGCCGGAGCCTGGGGGTCCCGGAGCCGTGTGGGCGTGTGGTGAGCCCTACGTCTGCGGGAGCATGGTGGTCCTGGCTTCCCGGCGGGAGCTCCGAGGAGGCGCGTGGCCTCGCCCCTGCCAGCCTGCGTGGCCTTCCCTCCCGAGGCTCCTCCTGGTCTGCACAGTGGCGTCTCTGTCGCGGGCAGGGGCGGCCCGGTGCAGGACAGAGCCGGCCATGCCGCGCCCTGCCGGGCTTCTCGGGACCGAGGCTGTCGCTG